CACAACACCCATTGATTCATGCCAGTTTTGTGCAGCCACCCCAGTGACCATTTCCAGCTCCCAGAGCACTGCATCCAGAGGAAGCTGCTGCTGGTGCTGCTCCCAGCACATCTGGGCATCCTGAGAGGACACTCCTGTCTGACACAGCCAACAAATAAGGGAGGGACAGGAACACAACCAAGGTCTGCTTGCTTAGTTCTGCTGCCAGACTGGAAATAATACTTCCAGCCACTGGAATGGCCAAAATACATTCCCTTTGTGCTCACTGCACACTCAGAATCCTTTGTGTTATCCTGGGAGGTTCCTTTAGTATAATCTCATTTCTTAAAAATTGTTTTAATTGAGAATCCCTGGGGCATTTTAAGCCAACTCTGGTAAAGCAAAAGCAAAACCACAAACCACACTTCCACTTCAACCATGCACTGGTGAAGCTTCAGGTTCAAAAAGCAGCAAGGGGCCAGGGTGGCTCAGGTGCCTGCCCAGCACCTGTGAGTGAACTGCTCACACAGTCTCTCCTTGCCAGGAGCTGAGCAAGGATCAGGATGGGCTCTGATGGCCTGGGCTCCCAGTCCAGGCACTCCTGGGAGGGCCATGAGCATGGCAGGGGCTGATCCAGCCCTCCTGTGTCTGCAGCCCCTGACCAGGCAGCAGCAGCACAGCCAGCAGGGCCATGCCAGCCCCCAGCCCAGTGGCACAAGGGCACAAGGGCCAGTGTTGGAAGGGCTGGGAGGCTGGCAATGCCTCACCACGCCTCCATCTCTCACACCACTCCCAGGAGAGCAGCAGCGAGCCAAACCTAAGGCAGGAGCACAAGGAGGGACTTTCTCCTCTTTCTCCCCACCAAGGTGCTGAAACCCAGCGAGGCCAACAGGCAGGAGGCTACTTCAGAGCAAGCATCTTTCACCTCCAGTCAGCTGTCAGGGTATCTCACATCCTCTCTTCCAGTTTTGGGAAGGGAGGCTCAATCTCCACCAGTAACAGCCCCAGCAGCTCCTGCCTGCTCCTGTCTTCCAGGCTGCACCCTGTGAGGCTTCCTCTGAGCCTGAGATGCTGCTGGAGATGATCCCAATTAAAGAAGTGAGGCTGTCACAACTTCAGTTGCACGAGGGAGATGAGAAAATGAACAGTGTCACTGAGTGTCTGCAGGAACAAATTTACAAACCTAATCACCTCCCAGCATAGCCAGGCTGCCAGTGCCTGAAGAGGGGTGATAGGGGAGAAGAAAGCTTTTGGGACTCTTAAAGAATATAAATTCGCCCTAATAGGAATTGGATCTGTCCCTGCCTGTAATCAGCAGCAAAACTGGGATCCTGAACTGGAATATTAATACAAGTGCTCAATGGGAGATGAAAACCTCTCAAAACCTCTCTCAAATAAAAAGAATTAAACATCAGAAACACAGCACAGCAAACTGCAATGCAGTTGTGTTGTCGGGAGGAGCCTGCTGAAAGGGGAGGCTGAGAAATTCAATGGAAGATGAAACTGCCCCCTGGCAGTGCCTGGGACACCAGATCCATTCTGAATGCACTCTGACTTCACACTCCAGATACCCTCCCAAACTTGGGTGTGATCCCTGTTTCTCTTTTAAAAATAGGATAATTGAATTTTTAGCACAGATTGATCCTCTGCATCCTCTGCACCTAAAGAAGACAAATACCTGGGAACAGGAAAGAAGCTCCTACTGTAACATTTGCTGTGTTTTGTATTCTGCATTTCTGCTGTTAGGGTTTGGGGGTGGGGAACATCTCTGACACTTCAGTGGGGTACCAAGTATTTGGGGTCCTCAGTTTAGGATATTGCATTGCAAATGAGCAACTTTTCCTGGAAATAAACTTGATGGGGAGCAGCTCAGACACACTGGAGCACAGCTGGGCTGGGAGAGCTGCTGCTGCAGATAGCAGTGTAGAGAAATGCCTTTCTGACACTTAATATTCCTTCATCTGGTCATTTTAAAGAAATCTTCTTTGATAACCAAATACTCTGATCTTTAATGTGATTAATCTGATTATATCCATGTGTGTGGGTGATAAATGATGACCAAAGCTCTTTCAAATAAAAAGGTTAACTGAATTTTAGTAGGTAATTGTTATAGAGTTAAAAAGGCTAAATTATTCTGATTATGCCAGCCTGTAAAATAATCCAAGGAAAAGACTAAAAAAATATGACTTATGCCAAAAACTTATAGAGGCTAAAAGCTACTTCTTGTCCCTTTTGAATGTTTGCTTAGACACATTATGTTGAGGCATATATAGATGGAAGCATGGAAAAAACAGTGCATTGTTTATCAAGAATAGGATCAGTTCTATAATGACATCTTCTGTTTGAGCCATTAGTACTTGTAAGATGGATAAAAAATGAGTTTTGTTTAACCTCACGTTTTGTCATAGAAATTTTAGTGAAATCTTTCATGTTCGCTGTCTCTTTCCAAGAGCAATTCTCTGGCAGATTTTAAGCAGCGGATGATGAATGATGAATGATGAATGATGAATGATCTCATCACGAGTGAGGGACACCGGGGGAAGGATGCGGTGTGCGGGCAGCAGGCGGAGCTGCTGGGGCAGGGACAGCCCGACCTGCCCAGCGCAGCCGTCACTCACGGGGACAACAGGAACCCAACAAACCTGACTGCCATTACAGCAATGATAACACCAATGGCACGGACTGTGACAATAACAGCAATCATCTGGAAAGGAGTGGCAGTAGAGGAGGCGACCATCACTGCCCCAGCCCTGCGCAGGTGGGCACCGATTACACACAGCCCAGGCAGGGGCTGGGGCTGCCACACTCATCTTCAGCAAAAGAGACAATTTCTGGTTTGTGTTCCCGTGACAAACATGAGATTTCTGAAACATCTGCTCACCCCACCAAGTGGCTGCAAGGCTTTGTTTGTACTGGGTGCAGAGCAGGGCAGCAACACGGGTGAAGAGAAGGGAAGTCCCAGCCCAGCCCCACAGTGTAAACCTGGGCAGCTCAGCTGTGCCCACAGAACCGCCTCAGGATCTACCGAGGCCTTCATGAAAGCTGAATTTGGGCCCAGAATTGAGGAAAAAGTGCTTTCAGCATTTGCTTCCCTGAAAGAATCAAGGCTGCCAGCTTCTTTTTAGCATGAGGCCAAGCCTGTGCTCTCACTGACCATGGCAGGGGTTTCCTGGCTGCCTGCCTGTGGGGAGCCATGCCAGAGTGGGGAGCAAGGGAGCCCCCCTGGCTGGGTGCTCGTATCCAGGCATCAGGGGGTGCTCCCGCTGCTCCCGGGCAACTCATCCCTCAGAAACACCCCTGTGCTCGCTTCAGGGGAGACAAAACACACAGCTGCTGTTTCCAGGGGCTAAACAAAAAAAGCAACGGCACTCACCCCTTCAGGTTGTGTTAAAAGTGACCCCAGAGCAAGTTCTCCTGCTTCTTGTGAGCCCAGTGTCACGGCTTGCTCTCTCAGCACACACCCGGCTCCTGCAAGGACAGATTTCCTCCCTCCATCACCCAGACTGTGCCAGGGACCCAGGAGAAAAGCCTTTCAGTTCAGATGGGACTGCTCATCACCTTCCCCCGTGGGTACATGGCAGCATCTGTGCCCCCTCTGGGGTCACCCCGTGGCTCACAGGAGTCTCAGGGCCATGTCCCCACTGCTGGCATGGCACTGCCTGGCACAGAGCAGAATCCCACCATCCCCAAACAAACACACAGCTCAAAATTAGAATCTCGGTTAGAGGGTGTTAATCATTGCTGCCCACCTTGGCTGCTGTCCATCAAAGGAACCAGCAGCTCAGCACCCACATCACCACGGCCCCAGTGGTCACAGCCATTCCCACCAGAGTGAGTCCTTTATACCAAGCTCAACACACACCAAAGGTAAAAATCCAGTGAATGAAGTGTCCTGTTCTGTAGGTTTTGGCCCCCAAATTGAAGGGTTTGTGAGAATTACTTGGCAGGGCAGAACCAGCTGGAAGGGCCCAGAGCAGGGACTTCCCTATATCCCCTCCAGAATTCAGATATATTTAAGGGAGAAAATACCTCTTTGTTGTACTGTTTGGAAGGTAAGTATCCCCAGATATGGCTCTTCTTTGAATAATTTCACTCCTCCTTCATATTCTTCACATCTATTTCCCAATGAGATTTATTTAATCCTACTTGAGTAAGAAAACTGATCAAGATGGGAGTTATTTCAGCATCTGTTGATGCTGAATCATGACTTCATTTCTCCTGTCCTTTTTACTCTTGAGGATTTAGCAATTCCCTCCAAGATTCTCAACTTCTCTTGTCTTCTGTTAATTAAAAACCAGCTAGGATTGCCAGCTAATTGCACACTGGTTTTTAACAAAGCCTGGCCTGTTGCTGTGTTTATTTTAAGTGTCAAAAGAATAGGCAGCAGCAGGTTTTACTGGCACTTCTCTTCAAGTGTGTGGTTTTTGCATGTACTGTGCTGAGCTGGGAAAAAGGTCTCACTAGAAATATTTATCGAGAAATATTTAAAAGATTATTCTTATGTTTAAAATCTTGCATAAAACTGACAACACTGATAGATTTTAAATACCAAAAAAGGAAAACCAGCATGACCACAGTGACCATGCCACGAGCTTGTTCCAGTATGTCCTAGCAAGGGATAGGGAGTCCCCATGGTTGGGGGCACCCAGCTGCTTGGGCAGCTCAGCCGAGCTGCACCTTCAAAACCCATCTGAAGTTGTCACTGCCTATTTTTTAGCATCTTAGAACAGCTGTAGGAGTCACATGGCTTATTCCTATTCATTACACAACATACCCCTCACCTATTGTGCATTAAAAAACCAAACCAAAGCAACAGCTTTCTGTAAATACAGTGTTATTTTTTTTTTTCCTGCAGCTTTTTAGCATCTCTCCATGGAAATTCAGTGTCTGCCTCAGTGACCCCTAGTGGGATGTCACAGGACAGAGGTACACCCTTGAGCAGCAGCAGCAGTCACAGCACATCCCAAAGCGCTCCGCTGTCCTTTGCCAAGCATGAGTCCATCAGGCACGTTTGGTTTCGGTCATATATAGAATTCCTGCTCCTCGTCCGCTGCTGGCGGGGCCGGGCTGGCCCGCGGTGCTGGCGGGGGGCAGCCCGGGGCTCCGTGCGGGGCTCTGTCCCTGCAGCCCGGGGCTCCGTGCGGGGCTCTGTCCGTCCGGGCCGGGGCTCCGTGCGGGGCTCTGTCCGTCCGGGCCGGGGCTCCGTGCGGGGCTCTGTCCGTCCGGGCCGGGGCTCCGTGCGCGGCTCCGTCGCTCCGGGCCGGGGCTCGCAGGGCCGAGCCGGGCAGGGCAGCCCCGGCTCCGGGGTCCGTCAGCGGGCGGAGGCTGCTCCGCAGGGCCCCGGGGAACAGGCTCAGCGGGCGGCGGCCGCTCCGCACGGCCAGCCCGGTGTCCACGTCGGTCTCGGTTCCCCGCTGCCCGCGGCTGTCGGCCGGAGCAGCCCGCAGGGCCCTGCCCGCCCGCCCGCGCAGCGACAGCGCTGCCCGGCCCTGCTGCGGTGCTGCCGCCCCGGGAGCGGAGCGCAGGGGCCTCTGGAGGTCACTGCCCGCCCGCTCACAGCCGAGGGCGGCTTCACTTGGGGCACATTTGGTTTTACCCTTCGCAGCTCTGACCTCCTGGCTCCTCCGCCCAGGATCACCCTGTTTGACAGCGAGAGGGGCTGGCACACAGTCCTGCGGGATTCTTCCACTGCCTGTACTGTCATGCTGCTGGGAAAGCCCGATGTTTGTCTCGAGGGTCCTGGAGCTGCTTTGAACCTATTGAAAATTAGAGAGAAGCCGGTTATCACACATTTCTAGCTTGAGTAACGATGATGCTCTCTGTGCTGGGGTCACCTGCAGCCTGACTCAGCACACATGGGGAAGTCCCTGCCGAAGGAGACTGTGGATACAAAAAATCCATATGCATTCCAGGGGAAACTCGATAGTAAAGGAGAGTCACTGCCAGTTTCCACAAGGGGCTTCAGGGAGGAATGACAATTCCATGTGGAGTCTGTGAGCAGAGCCTGGGATTTAGTTTGCAATATGGCAGGAGGTCAGGCCAGGGGGTAAATTGCAGGTACTCAAAAGAAAGATATACAGTAGGGGCTGAAGAGTTGCAGAATAAAGCACTAGGCTGCCAGCCTGCTCTCTGGAGCTTGGACACAAGATACATCCTCGAGTTCAAGTGGCTTACACCTTCCTTTGCAAGGAGCACAGTGCAGCATGGTCACATCCCCAAAAAAGCTTCCAATTTTCCTGCCAGTGAATTCATGTACATCTGTCAGCTCAAAGACCTTGTATCTACAGCAGGAAGAGCCACAGAGTAATTTAGGAAGGGAGCTCTGGAGGTCACCTGGCCCAGTCCCCTGCACCAGGTAGGACCAACTTCAAAGCTATGTGAAGACACCCAGGGCCTTGACCGCTCCAAAAGGGTGGAAACCAGTTTATAAATTGATATTGATTGAGGCGGCAAGGGCTGCCCTAAGATTAGTGTTCAGAGCAGCACAAAAATAGGCGGAACCAAGTAATTAACTTTACCTCTAACAGAGAACTTCTGGGAGGAAAAAGCCAGGTCAAATAATTTAAAATCCAAATTACAAGAAAAATAACCAGAGGTGGGAGGGGTTACATTCATATAACCTTTGGACTGCACACTTCAACAGAAAAGGCAGAGATTTCCTAGAACACAGCTCTTTGTCACTTTTGTCACCCTTAACTCACTTGTGATCTCACAACCTCAATTGCAGGCAGTGCTGTATCAATATTACACTTACAAAACTTCTGGTTTTGGATGCCAAAAATCTGCTTTGAAAAACATTTATACAGCAATGACTTATCAGAAAAAGATTAGGCTGCTACAATCATTTTTTTGAGGCAGAGGAGGGAAGATGTTAAACTAGTGAACTAGTGTGCCCTAGAAAACATCAATAATCTGCATTTCAGGCAAGCAGTAATGATGTTAATTTAACTGTATAAAAACATTCCAAGGATCAGTGCTTATATTTATCAACAGCATCACAGCACCGGCAGACACCGATTACTGCATTCACAAATTCGAAAGAAAACATGAACAAACAAAATCATAATTTCCATTTTGAACCAGTCCTGCTTCCCTTGGAAACAAGTAGATAAAAGAGTCCCACAGACACATACCTTGAGCAGAATCGTATTTCCTTCATAGTCCTGTGTTTGCCACCTGGTGCTGCTGATGGGCACGCAGGGGTTGGGCAGGAGGGGCACCAGCTGCCCGATCTCCTGCACCCTGAACTGCAGGGCCGCCGAGTCGGGGGGCTCGGCCGTCACCCCGATGGGCAGCTGCTTCAGGCACAGCTGCACGGCCACGTGCGGGCTGGAGTGCAGCACAAACACACACAGGGTGCCCTTCTGCACGGTGCCCTCCTTCTGCAGGATCAGCTCGTAGAGCCTCACCGCATCCTCGTAGTTGTCGAAGCTGCAGTGGAGGGTGACGCGCAGGATCTCGGGGCCGTGGCGCACCCGCCTGATGCCCCACACGGGCAGCTGCTCCTCCAGCCCGTAGAATTCCTGCTGGGATGGGGCACAGCGGGAATTGGCAAACTGGGCACGCTGGTACCGCCAGGGAGGGCGCTGGAACTGCTCGTGCACCTGGATGATGCGTTCTTCTCCCAAGTCCTCGTGCAGGAAAAGGAGGATGGATATTCCAGGAAAGCTGCAGCTCCTCCTGTGGTATCTCTCGTAGTATCTCAGCGGAGGAACTCGCTCTGACACCAGGAAAAGGCGAATGTCCAGGCAGAGCCACTCCAGAAGCCGATCCAGAGTTTGCTGCAGAGGGAGTGAGCGTCCCAAATGGGTGAGGAGATGCACAGTCATCAGAGACTCTGCTCCATCATCCATCGCAAACACTCCAGGCAAAAAATTAAACCAGACAAATTGGTTCTCTTTTTTTTACTCTGCCTGGGGAACACAAGGGTGGACTCTGAGCCTTGCAGATAATGAGTCTGGACTCCTACAGGCTTTGCAGTGACCAGATGAAACACGTGGGTGAGCACAGTGTGCCCCAGAGGGGCCAGGTGCAGGAGGTGACAAGGCTTTAAGCGAGCGGTCCCAGGTCACATCCCAGCGGAGCTCGGCTCAAGGCTCACTCCCAGCTCTGGAGCTCTGGGCACTGAGTACCTGTGACCCAAGTGTCCAGGAGCAGCACTGCATCCTCCTGCTCCTGTGACAGCAGAGTCACAAGCAGCGATTTCCCAGGGTGAGGCGATGCCCACTTGTCTCCCGGCAGTGGAAGTGTGGAAGTGGCTGCTCTGGACCCAGCCCAGTCCCACCGGTGCAATCACTGCCTTTTGCAAAGCCCATGTGGCACTCGTGGCTGAAACCCTCAGCAAATTTCCTTGTAGTCAGCAGGCTGGCTTTGGCTCATTGTAAAAAGCCTGTGATCTCTGTGAGTCCCACCCTTCTGGGGCACACAGATAAGCTGTTCTTTGAAAACAAGGAAGGAAAACAAAATAACAAAAGAAAAAAACCAACCGTGTGAATATGACAGATAACAATAAGGGCAGATATAAATCAGGAAAGAGGAGCTTTGGGAAAAAGCCTAGACTCCCAGTTACACCCTTCTCAACACAGGTAACTTCCTGCCTAACTGGAAACCAGGTCCTGGGTTATTGTACATAGCCCACTAAAGCTGGGTACCAGGCTTTCATTCTCAGTGCCCCCTTTGCTTCTTTTTCTTCCTTTACTTTTTTTTCCCTGAGATACCCATGTACTCAGCAGCCTTAGTCAAAGTCCAAGGGATTTTTTCTTGCTCCTTGGGTTTACATATTGGTACTTAACTTAGTTTACTGCATAAGCTGCAATAGGAATGCTGAAAATACACTGCTTTCCAGCTCTCTTCTAGGGTGAATAATAAATCACACTGTCCCTTCATCCCCCTATTTGCCAGCCCAGCAGCAGCACAATACAGGTCAAGCCAAACCCACTTCCTGTACAGAGCTGCCCCCACTGTAGCCAGTATTTAAACCAAAACTGGGGCCTCTGGTGATCTGTCCAGCTCCATCTAATTAAGAGCAGCACCTCTCTCTCTGCTGACATGCCAGCTTCCCTCCAAACAGCCAAGCACACAAAGCAGTGGTTCACTGTTAAGAAATCCCAGCATCAATAAGTCAATTAATTGTTCAAAATTCAGAACTTTTTTTTTTTTATAATATGACGCTAACTTTATATTCTACTAAGTAAAATCTCCAAGGTCTAAAGGAATAAGCAGCAGTGCCTTGGTTTCTTTTAGGGAGATCTCTCTCACACACATTCATGCTTTAAAAGGTACACTGACACCTATGTACAATAAAAATTAAAAAGACTGTCTAGAAAATGAGGAAAAAGATTATTTTGCACTCACCTGCAACACTTCGAGCAAGTAACTGCTGTTGGGAGGGAGACAAAAAACAAAATCCAGCCTTCGGACAATTGCAGGAAGAGAGTGAAGAGTGCAAGTGCTGAAAACATTAAAATGCTCTAGATGAGCTCTGAACAACACAATTTCACTAAAATATGGAAAAGGAAATGATTCATCAACTCCTTGCTACAGGGCAGGGGCAGGCAGTCATCTGCCTTCCTGCCTGTGAAGAACAGGGGAATTTGCCTGTGCAGGAAAACACTGAAACACAAAAAAACCCTGAAGAAAGTCAATTCATCAGGCTTGGGTTGTGGCTGGAAGCTGCTCCCATGAGCAGGGTCCCCTATTCCCACCCCAGGTGAAGGTCCTTGGGCTGCTACAGCACCCCAGCCCCACTGCCCCCTCCCTGGGAGCAGGACCCCCACTCCTGCCCTGCAAACTGCTCCTCCCTCTCAGGGCCCTGAGCAGGAGCCAGGGCAGGCTCTCCTCGTGCAGAGCCACCACTGCTGCCTTGGCAGCTCTCAGCCCCAGCCCTGCTCCAGTCTGCTGGGTAAAATCTGGTGGGCAGCTGCAGCTCTGGGGTGAAGGTGACAGAGGATAGGGGGTGAGAATTCTTGCAGAGCAAGTGGAGAGCAAGGGCTGGTTAGGGAATGATGCAGAAACCTCGGCCCTCTCCAGCTCCTGCTGTGGCCAGGAGGAGCCAAATTGTTTTCCAGATGGGTAGGTGCCTCCCACAGAGGCTGCTGAAGGTATGCAGCATCTCTCCTGTTTTTACAACAGCCAAAAACCTGAGCCTTACTCACAAAAAGGGCTAAATCTTCAATCCCCCACTGTATTTCTTCTGTGCTTGCTGGGGTGAAACAGGGAAACAGTCACAGCTCTGAAACTCTACCTGATGAAGCTGTCTGGAGAACAGCTTTAGGTCTGGTTCTCAGCTCCCCAGCAGCTCTGGGTCAGGAGCACCCACCAATCCTCCTGCAAGGAGCATGAGAGGAGCTGAAGCTCAGCCTTTGCCTGACCCTCTCCCTCAGAGGAGGGCAGCCCCACCACCCAGCCAAACCCTCCTGTTCCTCTTCCCCTTGCTCTGACAACTCAATATCCTTGGGGAAAGGCTCAAACCAGGCTCCTCAGCCTCGGACAAGGGTGTCCTCATGCCCTCCCTTTGTGTCCAATCCCCAAGCCTTGGGATAAAGCCTGGGTGCATTGGCCCTCACTGCTGCAGCTGCTGAGCTAAGAGCCTCCATCCACTGCTGGGCTCAGGGGAACAGGGATGGCTGCCACCAGAACAGTGCTGGCTTTTGCTGGGTCATCTGAGAAAAGCAAAGTGCTGATTTCACTCTGATCCCTGAATGGAAGGAGTCCTTGCCTTCCTCTCTGCCTCCCCTTCCCCCAGCTTCCCAGTCTGTCTGCCAAACAGAATAGCACATTTTTCACAGTGACCCACTGAATGCACCAAGAAAGATCTATCTCTTCAAGAGATTAGAAAAATATAGCAGGTCAATGGTACATGAAAAGTGGCTGTGCTGAGGGGAGAAGGGGTGAACAATTCTGATATGGGACTCAAAAAAATCAGGGCCCCATTCCCAGCTGGCAGTGACTGGTAACACAGCAGAACATAGAGGGAGCTGCTGGGGCACTCCAGCTGTGTGCAAGAGCAGGACAAATAGGAACTGGCACTAATGCAGACACTGGTAAGCCCTGCTAAATTAAAGTCCAAACATAAACAAGTAATAAACACTTTATGGTATGAAACCTTAGAGAATACTGTCTGCTCTAAATCTAAAATTCTACAGTGGAAAGGCTTTTAATTAATTTAATTAAAAATTCCTTTTCATAATCAATTCCTGAGTTGTGCCTAGTCGTCTGCACGGTTCCAAAGGGCAAAGAGCCCTTAGCTCCAGCTGACACCAACAAAACTGATGATGCATCACAGGATTTAATAAGTTCAGAGCAACATCTGTAAGGAAGGTACTTTACAAAGATTATTAGAATGTAATTAACTGGAGAGAGACTGAGTATGTATTACCTAAGCACCTTGGGAGAAGGCCTCATTAAATACATGACTCAGGCTTCCTAATTTCTTTTAAAAACTTTTTTTTTTTTTACACCAATCTCAAGCTCTGCCTATAACAAGGACAAAACTACTAAATTAACCTGCTAGATGACAGTTATATACAGCATACACAGTACTGAGATAAAAATCAAGATTAAGACCTTACTTGAATACAAAAGTCTTTTCAGAGGTTGTCTCTGGCTTCAAACCCTGTGACTCCAATCCATCACCACTTTGGAGGAACTAAAGACCCAATAACCAAAAGACCAAAACCCCATCTAGCCTACTGCATTTATTTAAGTAGACTTCTTTCCCAAGGTATTCTTATTTCTTATTTTTAGCAAGCTATCAGAAAGTAGTGATCCAGCAAGAGTCTGTCAGCAGGTGATGCAGGCTTTGGGGCAAGGGCAAGGCTGAAAGCAGCACTGAGACACAGAGATGAGCTTTCCAGTAGTAACAAACATGCTGCAGAAAGGCACTGCATGGCCTTGGCTGGTTGTCATACTCAACTCTCACCAGGTGATGTGTCCTCAGCCAGTTACAGGGCTCTTGCAGACAGTTCCATTTTTCCTCAGTTTTCAGTTTGTCTAAAATATTTTTTAAAAAAGCCAAGACACTCCATGCACCCAACCCAAGACCCACTGAACGTAATGAGCGAACTGGAGGTTATAGCAGGAACAAGCATTTGTAACAAAGATCAGAGGAGGGGTCAGGTTGGAAGGGATCTCCATGGGACATGGGGTCCAGCCTCCCTGCTCAGGCAGGGCCAGCCCAGAGCACATGGCATAGGATTGGGTCCAGACTGTTCTGGAATATCTCCAGTGAGGGGAGACTCCACACCCTCTCTGGGCAACCTGATCCAGTGAAGCTCTTCCTCACATTCAGGTGCAACTTCCTGGGCATCAGTTTCTGCCATTGCCTCTTGTCCTATTGCTTCACACCACAGAGCACAGCCTGCTCCATTCTCTGGACACCCTCCCTTCAGTCTCTTATAGACACTGATTTGATCCCCTCTCAGCCTTCCTGAGACTGAACAAGCCCAACTCTCTCAGCTTTTCCTGTGGTGTCCTGACTTTGAAGAGGCAGCATTTAGCACTGACCCAAGATGGCATCTCCAGGATCCCTCTGCCACGTCCCCAGTGTCACCCTTCCACAGGTCAGAGTGGGACAAGGGGGAGGTCAGCCTGCTACATGTGAATTTAAGTGCCCAGCTCCAGAGACCCCTTTCTGAAAGATCTAACCCAGCAATGTTTATATACATTACACCTCAATTAAAAATCATCCAGAAAAAGAAAACAGGCAGATCTGAGCAAACGCAAGCCTTGCAGGGCCCAGTGAAGTGTTTAATCAGCTCTCATTTGGCATTGTTGAAGGGCACTCAGAGCAGCATTCTTGGACGGCCAGCAGCAGCCCGGCTGTGACTGCTCCCTGCCGAGTGCTAATAAGGGC